AATATTGATTTTTTTACTTATTTTGGTATAGTTTTTTTTTAATTTATTGATTATGTACACTTCATAGAGTTTTTACTTTACTTACGTTCATTAACAAATTTTTGCACTTCTAAAACATAAACTGCTCGCGTAGGACGCTACTCGCAGAATGAACGGAAAACTGACGTGATATGCCGTCTTGCTTCTATGAATCAAAACATGTTCGAGTTTGCATAAAGTAACTGTAATTTCCTTTCCGTAGGACATAGATTTGAAATAATTAAAATTCATAGGGACACAAATATTAGGAAAACGTAAATTAATATCAAATTGGCTGCGGGAGTTCCCGGCTTGTCATACTAGTTGCGATAATTAATGACGGGGAACGCCGTCATGTCCTTATGTTTTTACAAAAAATTGCCGGCGTTTACCGTTTAGTCCGCGAAAGGGTTAATTCTTTTTAGTTATTGTTATCAATAGTACAATAAATATAACAAAACTAAATAACAAAATTTCATTAAATAATACACACTTAAATAACACGTAGTAATAAATAAAACACAAGATACAGCGATCAATCTAGCACACCGGCATCAACAAGATCACTGATCAACCAAAAGGTATAAAAACAAAAAAAAAAGTTGAAAAAGCGCAACTGTGTTATACAGAAAGCTTTAAGAATGTGTTCGGTTTGTGAGACCGCATGTTAGTAACGAAAGGTTAAGGAAATCTTTTCAAATCCAAAAGTAATTTTCCCGAAATGAAACTATTATTCTGGTGCCAGTCCAGGTTCTAAGATGTATAAACTTGTTTAGGGACAACTTATCCAGATACTAACAGATACTGTCCTGGCGCTGCCAACGTAATTGTACTGATTACGTAAGTCAAGATATTGAGGGTCAACCGTTATTAAAAGAATGTGTTCACCGCCAGGCTGGTATGCTGGGGCTTGTCCAGATTCTATTGGTTGATAACATTGTTAGGCAAATCTATGCGAGGATCTGTTTTGACACTGTCGAGAAAATCTTAACTACGGAAATCTAGCCAGGCTCTAAACGGAATGAGGGCTTTGTCTAAAGAATTTCCGGCCGTGTCAGAGATGTCAGGAAGTTTTCAGCAAAACAACTAAACAATTTTTGATTGCAGTCTTCTCCTCCAGTAATCATTTATTGTCGAAAATAATTTCGAAGCGTTTACATACAACCAAAAAACATATTAAACTGTATAACGTTTTTACACTAATCCTAAAGCATTGAATAAATATATTATATAAGTTTAGCATTTTAATCAATTAACAAACTACAAAATGAGGTATTGGCATATTGGCGAGTGGCGAGTGGCGAGTTGTGTCGTTTATAATCTTTGGCACTTAGTAATTTTGTTTTTGGCACTTAAGTCAGTTTTACGTAGATACATACGTAATAATACACCGTGCGAAAAAAAAAACAAAAAGTTTTAAACACACACAAAAAGTCTATTTACTCATAAAACTGCGTTTACAGTTTTTCTCACAGATGTCAGATTTTTTTTAAGCTAATATGAAGTTTCATTTGAGATGAATTCAAAAAATTACTTGAAAACTTCAGAGCAATGTAGAATAACAATATCGGTATCAAATGAAGGAGAAAAATCTGTCGAATTTTATCAAATTAATGATTTTTATTTTTTTTAAGCTAATAAGGTTTGAAGGACGAAATTGGAGGTTGCGGTCATATATTATGAGCCTTCAACATGTAATTTTTTTTTTTTTTAATAAATAATCCAAATTTTCAAGGATGGTTAAGGAGGATAAATTTTTGAAAATTACATTTTTAATACTTATTCGTGATAGTGAACCAAAAAAATAAATATCTTTCAATTCCTCAGAACAATTTTTTTTTTATTTGATGCCCAAATTATTATTCGTTATTTATTGAATATCTCTGAAATCTTAAAGTCCTTTCAGCAAAAAACCACACACCAGGAGAAAAACCAAAAACGCAGTTTTCCTACATCTAACCCCTAGTTTTGCGAGTAAATTGATTTTTTGTGTGTAAAATTTACTGTCGCACGGTTTTACATATTGAATGTATAATTAAATGTGTAATGTGATTTCTTTAGAAAATATCCTCATCATCGTCGTCATCATCTTCATTGGCTTCATGCACATGTTCGTCGGTTTCGCTGAGCACACCACAACTCGAAGCGAAAGTGTCTAAACTGCGACCGGTGTGTCCAGTGCCCAGCGAACCATAAGAATGGTAATAATTCAAACTCAAAGCCGAGTCGGCAGACAAATTGATGGCTTGTGTGGAGGAAGCTATAATGTCATATCCAGGGAACTTGGGCAGCTTAATGGCTCGTTGGGTGCGCATTTTGGTGTCCGATGACTGACCCACACTGTCCAGAGTCTGCTGGCTGCTGAGTGTGGCAAAACTGAAGGAGGGTGGTACTATGTACAAAAAGACATAAATGAAATAAATTTAATTGAAGTAAAATGAAATTGAGATTATCGTGCTTCATTGTACGGTTTTTTTTATTAGAGTTCTATGTTATTTTTTTATCTATAATTGATATGCATTATTTTATATGTATTACATATCGCGAGCTACTTACAACAACTATCGTATGAAGGCGGCTCATCGTCGTCATTGTTATTTGATATATCCTGTGCTCGCGCTCCACGTGCCGCAACAGTCCTGCTGGCCGCCGGTTGGTTCACATCATCAGCGCCATCCTCATCATCGTCATCATCTTCGGTCTGATTGATTTCCACCTGTACACTCCACTGTTCGCCGGCTATATCGCCGTCCTCCTCCTCTAGCGTTGACATTTCACGAGTGCTGATCCTACGCGGTTGTGTTGTGGTTACCAACTGTACACCACGCTGTTGCAGCGGCACCGTGCCAATAACTATCGGCACCGATAGATCTGTGTCATAGTGAAAGTAACCGGTTTTTAATTTTATTTGTAGCGTATAGTGGACGAACACAATATAATTGGGATTCAGTGTGGATCGTGGCGTATCGGAAGGCACACAAACCGTGCCTTGGTACATGCGCTTGGTTAGCCGAAGTGTGCGTTCGGTTATTATACTCTTCGCTAATGTTTTTGTATAGAAATTTCGTTTATAAGGTTGTCGTGCGAGAAAAATGAAATGCTGTTTGAGTGAAGCCTCAACGCTGGCGATGTCATAGTGTGGTGACTGATTATCCACTTCGAGGAAGAAGGGTATCTGTTGGCGTGCCACGAAACCGTTATAAGGCAGTAGGAGGGTGTATAAAATGGGTCCCGAAGTGCAAGGCCAATTGCAAAGGTATTTCACATTTTCATCGCGTATAGGGAGCTGGTAGTTGAAAAAAAAGGATAACAGTTATACGTACGTGAATTATGGCAAATTTTTTGTCTTTTAAAAAATATTTAAAATTTTTTACACTCACTCCATATTCTGGATTATGATTCAAGTTCAATGCCTGCACCACTGTTACAGGTTTGCGAAAGATCTCATCGAATGTCCATGGTTTGGCGATGGTCAACGAGATATTGTAGGCAATGAAACCATATGGACCCTTGCATGAGGACGGACAACCGGACGGTATACGTAATCGGAGTACATAAACGTGTGTACCAGCACGAAATTCGGGACTGTCGTAGACATTTGTGCGTGTATACAAATATTGCTGATGGCCACAATAGTTGGCCGAATCGCTTTTTCCACTGAGTGACCACTGTACGCGCGCCTCACCTTCAAGTGTTACATAGACGGCTGGAAAAGCAAAAAAAAGTTATGAAAGAAAATCTGCGATAGCTTAAAGGTGAGATCCTCTATGGCTAGAGGCATGGCCTGTGTGTAATTTTTTATACATATATTAGCCATTGTCTATGTGTGAAGAGCAATCGGTTTTATAAACGTTTTGTAAGACTCTCTCGTAGACTGTGCTCTCACAAGGGTTTTATAATGCTCTTAATAAAGAACATGTATTCTAAAAGAGGTTTATGCGTGTAGGCATATTTTTATAGGACTATTTTTTCCTGTTTTCCTTTCCATTTCGTGATTAGTGCAAATCCTGTAGAAATTTAAGATCTCTATAAGTTTTCTTCATTCAGAATCAGCAACAACCAAATTTATAAAATTTTACAAAATTTTAATTCTGTATTATTGGATTCCTCTTCACAAAGATCGTGATTACTCTTTATCCAAACCATTCCAGACTTTATTAGATAACACAGGCCTGCGATGATATCTCCCTCAAAAAACGAATTAGAAGTTTTTGGTAGGTTTTAGTACCAAGCTACGAAAAAAACTAATACAAAATTCCATCCCTAAGTTTTGCCAGAAATTTCGTTTTTTATTTTCTTTAATGTTGCAGCATATTATTAGCATTAGCTTCGAATTCTTTCTGATTTACTGAGAGTTTTGTATAAATTTTCTCAATTCTAAAAGGATTTGGCATTGAGTCAAACCACGCCAACTGTGTCAATGAATTTTCATTGATTGTGGGAATCTGTAGATAATTATAGAACAAAAATACACTTTGGGCGTTTTTTCGAAATTGCACTTCGTTTTGGTTTTTTTGGTATTGTAAGAATTTTGCAATTTTTGAGAGAAAAATTCGTAACTCGCGACCCATTTTATGAAATTTGATGAATTTTTTTTTTTTGAGAGTTGCTGAAGCTTTTCCTTTTACAATGGAAAGATTTGCAGAATAAAATTTGCAAAACAATGACTTCTATAATAACAATAATTTAAACAATTACAATTATTTATATATTCTAGGCCCACGATTGCAGTGAAATTTTGGCACAATATACTCTAAACTCTTGATTTTAAGTTCCAAAAAGAAAAAATTAGTCTTTCCAATTTTGACAGTTATTCTCATATAAGCTTGTGTGAGTGATAGAATTTTTATGATAATTAATGAATAATTATACAAGTACGTACATAATTTAACGTATAACTTGAAACATCAATCTTTATTTACACTTTATGTTTATTTACAACATGAGAAAAAAATCGATAGCGACTGTCAAAATTGGAAATACCAATTTTTT